GTCTCTCTGGTCACGGATTCCCCTGGGGGGTGCCTGGGCAGATGTGCGGTCCCAGCTGCGGCCCCCCGCCGTGCTGCTGGGGGTTCCAGCCAGTACCCTCGCCGGGCTTCCAATGTGGCTGAATCGGCAAGGCACCTCACAAGCTTTAGCATACCCCCTGCCTTGGGGAAATGCCCCTGTCCTGGCCTTGCAGAGGAGGAATGGTGTAGGTTAACTCTCGGCCAAGGTTACCTGGAAGGCTGTGGCAGAGCAGGGAGCTAACCCCAGCCCCCGAGGTCCAGCGTTAATGCCCTGCCTGTTGAATGAACCTTGCAGGGCACTTCTGGCTGAACTGTGTTTCTAGTTCAGAGACATCAAAGGTTTGTGAAAGTATTTAATTGCACAGGCAACGTTCTGTAAAACCTGAGCTTGGTACAGAGGCTGCGGAGCGGGAGAGCGCAGCTGTGAGCGAGATGGTTATGGGTGGATATGGCTGCCCAGGGGGGCTGTGGGGTCTCCTTTTCTGGAGATATTCAACCCCCGCCTGGCTGCTGTCCTGTGCCCCCTGCTCTGGGTGAGCCTGCTTGGGCAGGGGGGTGGCACTGGGTGAGCTCCGGAGGGCCCTGCCAGCCCTGGCCATGCTGGGATTCTGAGGTTCTGTATATATATATATACACACTATAGATGAGGTTCTGGACATAATTTATTTAGCAAAGTCATCAGTCTCAGTAGTAATAGCAGATAATTTTGCCACAGTCTCAAAAGACGATTGGATTTTGGTATGGAGGCTGGTCCTGGTAGAGAAGCCAGCTCTGTAAATCATTCCTAGTGGTTGGAGTTCAAATATTAAAAAGCCGAATCCAGACCCACATGAGTAACTGTCCTGGTTTCTGGTTAAACCACAACAGTAACATGCCTGGATATCAGTGGGGTTGCAGTTTGGTCCTGCTGCATGTTTGGGCAGGGCATTTCCTCTTGTTATTTCTGAAGGAAACAGACTTTGTGCTAGCGGATATCCTTTGCTTGCTTTTCGCCTTCCCTGGTAAAAACAAGATGAGTGGCGAGACATTCAGCTGGGAAGTAAGAAAGAGAAAATCCACTCGTCTCTCAATTGGCTATTTATATCCTCCTTCTAAAAAGCATTATATGATAATGCTCCTTCCCCAGTCCCCGTAGCGGCCTCAGGGCTGTGCTGCCCTGCCACGAGGCTGCCGGAGCGGGACGCGGCTGTTCGGGCGCTGTAGCGTGTGGCTGTGGCGATGGCAATGGGTGGCCTCTGGTTTGGGGGCGATGCCCCCGCATGCTCCGGGTGAGCAGCCCCCCTGGGTGTGCAGGCACCTCCGCTGGAGGGGCAGGGGCGCAGGGAGGAGTTTGGCTGCTCTCTGGCCAGAGGTGGCTTGCAGAGAGTCCGACTTCTTCCCCAGCCCTTGTGCAAGTCAGGTGCTCGCCCTTCTGCTGATACAGGGAGATGGTTCAGCTAGATAGGAAGGGGCTCACCGCTGGGTTTCAACAATGTGAGAGCATTTCTATCTTGATTTAATCAAAGCCACCAACTAATCTCCTCCTGGCATCAAGAGGCTTGGGCCAAAATGGGCTCCCGGGTTAATTGATTTCTTTTTTTTTAATTGCTGCCTGTTGGGGTGGCTGCTCAGCCACCATCCGTCGCTGTACAGCTGAGCTGGAGCCGGAGCGCATCAGAGGCTTAGGAAAGACCTGGGTCAGGTTGTGCGTGTCCTGCCCCGATGTGGAGCGGGACTGGGGGGGGGTGGGCAGGGACAGGGAAGGGAAGGGACCTTTTTTTTTTCCCCTTCCCTGCCACCAAGCTCCAGGGAGGTGGTTGCAGTCAATGTGTTTGCGTGGTTTAACAGCCGCTTGTTTTTTCTGAGTCAGAAATAATTTTCCAGAAATCTGTGCTCAGATGGTGAGCACAGCTGCCCGGTTGGAAGGACGTGTGTGGAGCAGCCAGAGCTGGGAAGGGCTGGGATAAGACATGTCTGCAGCTGCTGGATGACAAAAGAAGGGAAGCAGCCGATGCCACGGCTGTAACATCCCGACCGGCTTCATGTTCCACTTCCTGCCCCGCTCACTGGCCTCAAAGGTGGTTTTCCCAGCAGACATCGCATTGCTGATCCAGTTCCCTTTTCTGTACTTAGTTTTGTGGACACAAAGCAGTACCTCATTTTCGGATGCAGTCATGAACCGCAAGTGTCCACAGCGTTTTGCGTGGGTGAAAGCAGGGCCCTTGATTTGAATAGTTGGCCCCGTCTTTCCCGAGAGTCTCACTGTCACCACGACCTGCCTGAGCTGCTACGAACCCCCTCCCTACCGTGGCATTTTGGGCACCCTGCTCACCAGCCAGTATGGTTTTGCTGGAAATAAGAAAGTTGAAAGCTTTGTGGTTTTGAGGGTGATGGAGTTCTGGGCCGCTATGGTGGTACTGCATGTAGATAATATGAAGCTCTTCGGGGAGGGGGGAAATAAATCTGTGTGCAGGACCTGACCTGCAACAAAGCCAGAAATCTAGGTGCATGTATGGTTGCCTGCATTTTGTCCTCCCTTTACCTGCCCTGAGGTCTTTTGGGGGAGAAAGCTCTGCTCTCAGCCCAGCACGGGATAACTTTCTGCCTCTTGGAGCACGGACAGGGATCTTCTCCATACAGACAGTGCTCAAGTTTTAACCTTCCTTCTTGTCGCCACAGGGCCGTGCCGCTGTCTGAAGGGGAATTACGTCTAACTTGTGCAAGCTATGAATCAAACTTTCTTTGCTGCTAACTCTAATTCCCCTTTTTTGCCGTTGCAGGTTTTGTTGCCAGCTGCTAGTTTGCTGCAACTGATGGATGTTAGAAAAAACTGCTGTGACTTCCTTCAGTCCCAGCTGCATCCCACCAACTGCCTCGGAATCCGAGCTTTTGCCGACGTGCACGCGTGTACCGAACTGCTGCAGCAGGCGAACGCCTACGCAGGTGAGGGCAGGGGCGTCCGTTTGTCGAGTTAGAGCTGCTTCCAGGTACAGCGAGCCGAAGGCTGAGCTAGATCAGCACATCCTGGTGGGTCTCTTGGCACTTCTAGCGTTAGGGCAGGGGAAGGAGTGCTTTATTGGGTTGTAGGCTTCTAACTTGGTGATGCTGCAAATTGTGAAATGTGGTTTGGGCGTAGGGGAACACCTAAGGAGGTAACACCTGATCCCCCAGATCCCGGCCCACAAAATAGTTCCTTAGTACGTTCCCAGTGAGCCCTTGGGCTGCCTGTTCAGCAGCACAGCGCTGGCGTGCTGGCGTCCTCCCCGTGTGCGCTGCCCCGCCAGAGCGGCGGGCAATACTGGGGATTTGTGCGTTCTAGGAATAAACGGCACCGGGCAAAATCAAATCTTGTGGGTGGGAGTGGGAACACGCAGCTAACGCTGCCATGCGGTTTGAGCCTCTGGTCTGTGGAGCCGTGGCCTCTTACCCCAAGGGTGGGCAGACTGCTGTCTCCTTGAGAGTGGATGTGGTTGGCTGCAATAGGTAGGTGCAGGCAATGGCTTTCAGCGTTTCTCCTCTACGTCGTAAATGTAAAGCTGTTCCGAGCAGCCCCACGCTCTTAACTCCCCAGCGCTTTCCAGTCTCCTCCGGCAGAGTTGCCCTTGACCTCTGCTTGGGCCAAGCTGGTAGTTTTCTCTGCTGGGTTTGTTTTTCTGCCTTTCTGTCTATTTGTAGAGGGAAAAATACACCTGCTGTCTCCCAGAGCACCTGCTCAGCCCAGCAGCATTTTCCTTGGTATGGTTTTGTCCTTAATTGGACCATAAGTAGGCTCGGTGGAATAAAAATATGCCCACCAAGTCCTCCCTTAGTCTCCTGCAAATAAAAGTAAAACCTTTTCAGCTGTTCTGGCTGTATTATCCCCTGGAGGAAAAGGTACCCTGGAAGGAATGGTTAATTGTATAAAGGCTTGCTTGTAATATCTCATTAGCCTTGCTTCCAGGCCCCGTTTAATCTTTAACCCAACAAGCAGTGCATTCACTCTATATTTATTTGGTTGTTTGGCAATTAGAAAGTCTGCTTTGTTGTTTTATTGGCCTTCATAAGTCCCGGTTAGTACAACAGCCCGTGTAATGGTAATGGAACTCCATTAATAAAAATGCCATTAAAATTCTTTTCTCTATGTTGTTTATGTAACAGCGTTAAAACAAGACAGAAGTCCCCAAGCTCAAGAGTCCGTGCGTGCATGAGCCCTGTTACTTGAGAAACGCCTAGTTCTGGCCAGTGGATAACTCTGGGAGGTGGAGGAGCCTTCTTGATGCAGGCACAAGTTACTTTATTAAAATCACTAAATATTTTTACCTGCTTCCAACTCGTAACAAGAGATGAAATACCTCTCTGCTGCCAGGTGCCAGTCCAGGATGACTAGGAGCTCATCTCCAGATGCCAGGCTGCATCCAGCTCACTGCCTGGGGAGCATCTCCTGCTTCTCAAGTGTTTGAGGGCAGGAGAGTTCATTAGACCATGTATATGATTTCCAGCATAACAGAGTATTAAACTTCATCCAGATAGCACTATTTTTAGTCAGAGCCTTTGGCTTAGCTGTGGTGTTCTGGTCCCCCATTCGACCAAGTAGGGGCCATGGGTGGGAAAGCCCAAGTGCCCTCCACAGCACCCGATGGGTGAGGAGTTTTCAGGTGTGATCTCCAGGGAGCTCCTCCCTTGAAGTTCTGCCAGCTTTGTGTCCCTGCCATGCTGCCTTCTGGCAGGCAAAGTACTTTGCAGAGGTGAAATCCAGAGGCAGATCTTGCTACGGGGGGAGCTCTTTGGGTACGTGAAGTCCGAGCTTCCCAAAGCTAAAGGGATGAGGGCTTGAAAAAAGCCGCTTCAGATAAAGTGTCTGAGAGTCACGATTCCGTGTTTCAGTCAAAGGTAAATGGCACTTAGCGAATGGCAGGTGAGCTAAAATTGGCGTGATTTGTAACAAATGCTTGCAAAACTAAAATTGTCTGCAACTGGCTAATGATGGTTTGACCTAAAAATTCTTTTCTAGAAAGCGATTCTTTCCTAGTGCCCTCTGGCTAAATGTTGAGCTCAGCAGATCTGATGATCCCTCTTGGGTCTGTATTGCGATCGGTCACAAGTCTCCCAGTTTGGGATTGGAAGCAACGGTGTGAGTTGCTGTATTTTATTTTTCAAGTGGCTCCCAAAGTTACAGCACAGAGGGATTTGGAGGCAAAAAGGGGGAAAAAAAAATAAAAATTTGTACAGTTACAGACAAAGTGGGAAGAGGCCAGGCTGCTGGGGAAGATGGGTGCTGAGGGTTTGGAGCAGGGGAGAGGTTCAATTTATACATTTTGGGGAAAGAATTCAAAAGTGGGATCAGCTCTCCTTCCATTTGTATGCATGGGATGGGGATCCCCCCTCGCCCCTCTCCGTGTCCCCCCTTGCACCTGCAGATTCAGCTGGGTGCCCTGGGATCCCTCCATGTGTACGCACCAACCTGACCCGCTGCCTGATTCGTGTTAGGGATGGGCTTTCCTTTGAACACCCACAGCTATCGAGGACCCTTGCTGCAGTCTCTCATCCAGATGTTGAGCAGATCTCATTCTGTCCAGCGTGTTGAAGCAGACAAGAGCTGCATCTCGAGGTGGCCAGGTTATTTACGGCTTTAGAAAGGCATTGGCACTTTGCTCAGTTGCCACTTCTGATCGTAGTTGCCACTGGGGGGTACTCGGTGGCTTTGCAGAAAGGTGCGTTCCCATTTAGTGTCATTTATGAAAGTGTCTCGTGGGGCTTGTGTTATTTAAAATAACATCAAATTTCTTTAACCTGCTCTGAGACGATTTTCTTTTCCTGTTCCGCCATGCAGCCGCGGCGCCCTGGTTGCCTTGGGTGCCCAGTGCTGCAGTGATAGCCGTTCTCTGGGGGCTGGAGTCCTTCCACTGACTTAAAGCATGGATTTCATTATAATTTTCTGTTCCCCCTTTTCATTTGTTGAACAGAGCAGCACTTCCCCGAGGTGATGCTAGGAGAAGAATTTCTTAGCCTTAGTCTGGACCAGGTTTGCAGTTTAATATCGAGTGACAAGCTCACGGTCTCCTCTGAAGAAAAGGTATGGTAAATTGTATAGCAACAGTGCATGTGGGAATGCTGGAATGTTTCTAGATCTTACACTGGGAACTGTTCTCATGTTATGCTCTTTGGTGGCCTTTTTCCAACAGCGCTGGAAAAGAAAATCAAAAATAATGTGAATCCTAAAACCACATAGAAATGACCTTCGTTGGGTTGTTCTTTGTAGGAAGTAATGATTCTCAGATCCATATCTCTTCCAAAAGCCCTGGGGGACAGAACTGAAATACTTCCCTCTCTGGAAAACTAGGACACTCCCATCTGCTCTTGGTGTAAAGCTTGTGTTACCTGCCGTAAAACTGCAAAAAAAGGTGAATTCCATTAGGCCAGGGAGGAGTGGTGGCTTCTGCTGCATGTCAGACAGAACAGCTAAAGGAGGCCCACAACCAAAAAGAAGGAAGGAAATATTTTTCTAGCATCATCAGTGTTTTTAATGGAAGAGAGGAAAAAAGGCACCGGTTGATGTTGGTTTGTGGTTGAAATGTTCAGCACATCTTGTGTGGTCTGCAGGCCCAGGAAGGAGGGTGACCAGTGGTCACGGTACCCGATGAACACCAGGTCCAGCCCTTTCTCTGGTGCGGGCTTCTTGCGTGACCTGCAGCAGGTTTTGGGGGAGAGGTCTGTGCCTTGAGTCCTGTGGCTCGCCTCCAAATTGTCCCCACGGGGAGATGGGCGCTGGCGGGAGGCCACGGGAGAGCTCGAGGGTGATGTGGCTCGAGATTTCAGGGCCCTTGCCGAATGCCGGCGTTTTGGTGGGGTGAGCCTGGACCCCGGTGTGCCTGGTGCTGCCGGTCTGTCCCGAGCTGGTGGGGCTGCGCGGCCAGGTGCGGACCCTCAAGCTTGCCAGAAAACCTGCGCCGCTTCGTTCAGACCCTGAGCCAGCAAGCTGGGAGGCTTGGGGAGCGCGTGTCCGCCAGCGTGGGGCTAGCGCGGGCGTCTTGGCGAGGCGTTACGAGGTGCCACGCAGGCAGGGCCAAAAAGGGGAAAAAACCAAACGGCCTGAACTCGCAGCGGAATCGCTTTGCGTGAGCCAAGCTGCCTGCAAAGGGAAGGGCAAGTTTAGTAACCAATTTTTCCAGTCCTGCGCAGCATTGTTAAAAAGCTTTTATTGGCCTTGTGCCCAGAGAAATCAAAGTGCTCCCTCCCTCTTCTGAGCTTTATACAATCCATCCCAGTATTTCGTTAGCTGATTGTAAAAGTTGAGAATGCAAGGCAGTGGAAGGAAATGTAAGCCTAAGCTACGCATTCGAAACAACAGCTCGGAATAACGGGAGAGGGGCAGAGAATGGGACTGGGACATAAATGTGAAATATGTGCTGGAGCCCAGAGAAGTGCTGCGAACTGGGGACAGGCTCAAGTGGGGACAGGCTCAAGGCTGCTGTTTTCTCTTAGCTTCACGGCAGAGGAGTGGTTTTCCTGACCTCTATTCTTCCCATCTGCTGATGTACAAGATACATATTCTAAAATAATAAGATATCAATATATTATAAATATATAAAAATGCATATATATGTGTGTGTGTGTGTGTGTGTATCTCTCCATACGCACACGTATATCTCTGTGTATGCATGTGCACGTGTGATGGGTAGGTAACTATTTTGAAGCAACAAGACGTGGGTGAATGCCCGAACCCCCGAGTTGTCCCAGCAGGGTTTCGGGAGCGGCGGTCTCATTGCGGCTCTCAGGCGTGCCCCGCAGACGGAGCATCGCCCTCGCTGGGTGCTGGGGAGCGCGGCCGAGCCCAGCCCGGGTAACGAGGCCAGGGAGGGAAGGTTTGGCCCTGCAACGCTTGGGGGCACGTCCGCCCGCCAGCTCGCCTGCTCTCCCCTTCCTCCACCACCCCCCAACCGATTGAACTATGAAAATACATTCCTTATCTCCGCAGATTTTGGCATAGCAGTATCCCTAGGCCATCAGCACTGCAAAAATTGTCTGCTACCAGAGAAATCTATTTTGATTGTAAGGCGGTGACAACGTTGCCCCATCAATCAAAGATTCCTCTCCTTCCTCTCCCTCTCCCCCTTGCTCTCGCCAGCCTCCGCAGTTGCTGGGGCCCTTTTGGCCCAGGGCAAAGGTTTGGTTTGGTCCCTGCCTGCTCTTTTTGCTGGCGCTGGGTACTTTGAAGACCATTTTATCAGTGCATTCCGTGCCTGACCTAACTGGGTCTTTAATGACAGCAGTGTATGCAGCAAGGAAAAACTATAAAACCCCATGTTTAGTGACATTTACTGACGCTGTGTGACGTGGAGGGGCTTCCAGCCCTCGAGAAGGGGCTCCTGCCAGCTCAGAACAGTGATGAAAGAGATTTTTAAAAGGGTTGGGATTTTTGGGTTGGGGATTTTACATGGCGTCCGGTAGTCAAATCATCGCCTCGTGCCACTAACGTGCAGCAGAAGCTGATGCACAGTTTGGTCCTCGCTCCTGGGAGTATTTTAACAGCTGGATTAAGATTATTCTTGCCCCCCGCCCTCAGTTAGGAATCAGAGCTGACGGAAGGTGCCAGAATCTGATTTTTTTTTTTTAAATTTTCTGTTATTTTTAGAGTAGGCACAGCAGAGTAGGGGCAGTGCCTGCCTGACTCGGGAGTGGTCTCCAGCACTGAGGCAGCAGTTTGCTCCTCGTGCACACTTGCTTTGCCTTCCTTTAGGGCTTGTTCACCGTCATCTTGGTCTGTAGCTGGGTATGTCCCGGTCCCACGACCCGCGTGGTAGCTCAGCATTTGTGCAGAAGAGGTTAATGAAAAGCAGGTTTGTTGGCTAAACCTTTGCTTGATGCACCTTCCATGCTCATTAGCAATTAAAAATCTCACAGCCACCTAGTTTGTACTTTAACGGCCTCATAGCCAAAGTGAAATTGCTTGTTTATTTTCATTTTAAAATACGTAAAGGTTCTGCAGGAGTTGTCTTCCTCTGCCTTCGCTGGGGTTTGGTTACATGGCTCCCCATTGCGTTGCTTAAAGCTTCATTGCAGCGCCCTGAATTGCAAACAGTTCAGCAAGAGCATTTGTTGCTGTGGGAAATGAGGCTGGTGCTTTACTGCTTTTTTTAAGGGTATAGTTAGGTCTAGGAGGAGGAACCCCCTTTCCTCTCGGCCTCCCCTTCATGGGAGGACGCCTCTGCCGGTGCCTCCCGCAGATACATCTGCCGGCAACAACTGGGGACTGAGGGACGGCGCCCTCGGTTCCGGTTAATTTTGACAAATTAGTGACCTCGGACCGAACAAAACGGTTTCTTGGGGAGTGACGGGAGGGTTGGAAAGAAGGAAAAAATATCTGTGCAAATTGGCCTGACCATTTGGTGACCCCGGAGGGAAGTGGAAGCCAAGGGCATGTGCCGAGTGTGCCAGGGCGAAGGGCCGGCGATGCCTTTTGGGGGAAGCGTGGGATGGCCGGGATCCACGGGAGACGGCTGGGCTCAGCCCCCGTCAGTAACCCAGTAGCAGGAGCAATTGGGGAATTTTCCCTGCCGATGCGAGTTAGGGGTTGGAATTTAACGCTGACTCTGCGGGGAAACTCCACGGCAAGGGCCCAGATCCTGCTGCGCAGCTTCCGAGAGGGCGCCAGCCCCTCTCCTTGCCGTGCTGGGTGCTTTCAGGCAGCCTTTCCCGCTCCCAGTGACATTTTTAGGCCTTTCTCCTGGGAGGAGCGAGGCTCGCAGTTATGTGAGCACACGCGTATTCACGGCAGGAGCCCACGCAGGAGGCTTTGCCCGCGCCCGCTCGTCGCACGGGGCTCGGCGTGGCTCTGCTGCACGGGGTTGCTTGTGCCCGGTTGGTCGTGGAGGCGAAGTCTGGATGCTTATCTGAACCGGTTGGATCTGGGAGCAGAGCTGGGGTTTGGTTCAGACCAGCAGCCCAGCCTGCCCTTGTTTGCCTGCAGAAGTATCCGGGTATTTTTAGCGGTGAAACGCGTGCGTGGCTGCAGACAGGGGTTTTCCTGCGCGGGTGATGAACTCGTCCTGAAGAATTCTTGGGTTTTGGGGCGGGGGGTCGGAACCGGTGCAGTGATTAAATACGATGGTGAACGTAGTGACTTACTGCATAGCCAGACACCTTTCGGGAGGGGAGAGCTCTCTTATCAGGAGTAATCGTTGTGGCTGATTTAGCGAATAATGTCCCGTGCAAATGTCAGCAGGCTAATTAAGTTTCCTGGCTGCCTTCCAGGACTAATGTCCAAGAGGTGTATGATTGTCCTGGACACACGCTGAGCTTCCAGAGTGATCCGGCACATCTAGATGTGAGGTTGCTTATTAATATGCATGGGCAGCTCACCGCTTGGCTGCCGGGGCGCTTGCGCTCTGTGCGTAGTCACGACTTGGTCATCTGTTTGATGGAGACCTTGCACCTCCTTCCTTCCATACTGTAAAATCGCAATGCTTCTGATTTGGGGTAGGTGACTGTGCAAGCTGCTTCTCTCTTCTCCGTTTAATTGTGCTTTATCTGTGTAGGTCTTTGAAGCCGTTATTTCTTGGATAAATTATGAGAAGGAATCTCGCTTAGAGCACATGGCTAAACTGATGGAGCACGTTCGCCTGCCCCTTTTGCCCAGAGATTATCTTGTACAGGTTAGTCTGCAAATAAGTAATTAATACTTGCACTTGAACTGCTGGTAGCTCCTTAATCAACAGCTTGGCTGTTTGTGTCTGAGATGGGTAATTTGGCATGTTGCTGAGTCTGTAAACAGAGGAATCAAAGGAAAAACGGGGTGGACTCTGAAATCAATGGGTGTGCGCAGAAACCTTCGTGTAAACGTGCCCTGTGCTCGGCCGGGCCAAGGGCAGAGCTCCTGCCCCTCTTGGGGGAAGCGTTTGGAAGTTAATATCTTGGGATTTGTCACCCAGAAGATACCCAGGTGGTGGTGTTACGAGCTCGTGCAGGTTTTTTCCCTAATGCACAGGTAAATTTAGCTTGGTGAAAACCCATCACGTGTGATAATATTGGCTGAAGATGTGCTCTGCGCATAGAGGTGGGTCTGTGTGACTGGTGGGTGAGATGCTCTCTGACTTAGAGGTTGTTCTCGAGGAGTTAATTCCTGGGATCTGGGCCTTGATAATGAGCTGAGAATCCCCAGAGAAGGAGGAGATGGAATATGGGCTCTTTGGCTACTGCGCTTTTGTCATGTGTCTAAAAAACCCAATACAATTGAAATAAAATCGGTATTCACAAGATGAACCCATCACGTATTTTTTTCTCTCAACTGTATCTTCTGCTCGAGGAAAAGATATTGCCTCTCCTTAAAAATTCTGACTCAAGTAAAGAAGTTACTTATTTTGTATCCAGACTCCTGGTGAATTCTTCTTGGCTAAGTGTCTGGTGGGGGGGAGGAGGGGTAAATGGAGGGAGCACCGCTCCTCGTGAGCAATACTGGAGAAAGCTGAGGACTGTGGATGTTACTGCCTGTGCTTCTTTGGGAAGAGCTGGAAGTCTGTGTTCGTCTTCTGCATATTTTTTTTTTTTTATGTTGGTGCTTTGGAAGAGAAATTCCAGGTTTCACGTTCTCTCCACAAAGCTCCTTGTGACCTGTGCCACCAAGTGCTTCAGTGTAAATGATCTCTCATGTGTGTGCGTGTTCTCAGACAGTTGAAGAAGAAGCCTTAATCAAGAATAACAACACCTGTAAAGACTTCCTTATCGAGGCCATGAAATACCATTTGCTTCCTCTGGATCAAAGGCAACTGATAAAGAATCCCAGAACAAAGCCGAGGACTCCCGTGAGCCTGCCAAAGGTAAGGCGAGCCGGTCGCGTCCTTACCGGTGGCGTTTGCTGTCTTTAAAGGAGCTTGCACACTTGCCACGTTACTTCTCACTGACTCCACGATTGTCCTTTGACTCCCTCTTCTGGTATTGCCTGCGCCCACCATGGATACATAGTTTGGATAAGCTTAGATAAACCCTCAAGAGCAGCAGTGTCTCTGCTCCCAGGGGCAAGGGTCTGCTCTCAAAACATTTTGTCAGCCACCAGTGGTTTTGCGAATGGCTGTTGCTCCTGGAGCTGGGGCTTGGGACCTGCTGACCCGTGGAGCGGCCGCAGGCAGCTGCCCGCAGTGCTCGGCGAGCGTTCTGCC